TTTAAAATGATGAATTTTTTCACTGCCTTATCAATAAATTTAAATTTATTACATCCGTAATTTTAAATCTTACTGTAATATTTTTTAAAGCTCAAATAATTACAGCGTTATATGTCTAATTTGGAATTTTACAATAATTCTGGTTTGGCATTTTTAAAACTTGGTGGAGAGAAGGGAATTACTGAATCAAAGATTGGTAATGCAATGAATCCATTGCTAATATTGGCTAAGAAATATGGCGCTGCATGTTTTTGTTTAGAACATCGTTTTTTTGGAGCAAGTCAACCATTTGAGTAAGTAATTCATAAAATTTACTAATTACTATGTCAGTAATTAATTTTTACAGTAAAATATATGCAAGGAGGAGCAATAATTTTCATTAAACTTTAGATTATCCTAAAACTTGGTGATGAAATATGGAATTTCAGAGATCACTCAATCAAAAGCTATAAATACTTAACAATAAATCAAGCATTAGCTGATATAAAAAATTTTATTGTTCATATGAACGAAGTGTTTTTCTCGGGAATAGAAAAACCACGTTGGATACTATTTGGTAGTTCCTATTCTGGTAAGTTAGTTGGTTTTTATTTTTCAGTTTTTAACAGTATGAAATGAAATAAATGGTAAAATTATAAAATATGTTTCGTATTAACTTTTATCAAATTTTTAAACAGATCAAAAAATTTGAGTACTTTCTTCTTTGAATTAATTCGTTGTATATGAATTTCAGGTGCACTTGCAGCATGGTTTCGTGAAATGAACGAAGATCTTACTATTGCAGCAATTGTATCATCTGGTGTGGTTCAAGCTGAAGTCGATTATTATGGTAAAATTAAATAGATTCAAAAAAAAAAAAATTACGATCTAATCCTGTTTTTTTTTTTTTTTTTTTGAAGTTTTAGAATTTAGAAAGTATAAAATATTAATTGTTTGGATGAGATTAATTTTGTCTTGTTAAGGTGCAAAAAAGAAAAGAAATATTAATCTAGCTAAAAAAATAAAATAGAACTTTTTTTTTTGGAAAAAAAGGAAATTTCAGATCATACCAAAAATTTGGAATATGTATTGAAGGAGGAGAATGCACCGTGCGCTGAAACTATTCGATTGAGTATGAAAGCACTGATTGAAAAAACATATACCGCAGATGGTAGGGCAGAATTAGGAAAGATTTTTAAGTGAGTTTTTTTTTATTAAAATTTGTCAATTTAATCTTTGATCTTTTCTTTCCTTTTTCTTTTTGATTTTTTCAAATCTTTGATCGATCCTTTCTCGGTTATTTTTTTTTTTGCTATCAATTTATTTAGATTATTTTAATTTTCAATTTATTTTTTTTTTTTTCTTCTGCAGCATGTGCGAACCATTTACGGAGCCACCAATATCAAAAGATATACAATTTTTTCTTGCAAATGTTTTGTCTGTATTTGGTGGTTTTATACAGTATGCAGGAGGATGTGTAAATTTTTTTATTTGTTTTTTTTTTTTTTTTTCAAAAATTGTTTACAAAATTTTATTTACAAAAGATTTCAGTGAGAAAAAGAATTGATAAAATTGCAGCGACTTCCCGATGTGTCTTATTTTTGTAATCTGATAATACATGATGGTGACACAGATGGTATTGGGATAATTTTGAATGCCTGGAAAATTTATGATCAAGTATTTCGATTTGAAGAATGCTTTGATCAAAGCTATGAAAACCATTTAGAAGATTTGAGTGATATCAGTTTCGTGGATAATGAATTTGGTTACTTTTATTTGTTTGATTGAAATTCGTATTGTTTTTTTGTTGAAAAAAATTAGAAACCTTTAATAAGTTTTTTCTTTCATTGAAAGCAGTAATAGGTAATAAAAGATTTGACAAATTTCAGAAAGAAAAAATCCTTTTGTTAAATCTAAAATTTACATGGAAATACTAATTTCTTTTCTTATTTTGTGAGCTTGATTGCTATGATAATCAATTAATGTTAATTTTTCAAACCAACATAAAAATGATATCATTGATAAGCTGATAGCTATTATTAAATTATTTAACATCAGCTAACACAATATTTTTGCTTTCTAATTTGTTGATCATATTAAATTTTTTTCCTAATACATTGCTTAAATTTATTTTTGTAAAAATCAACTTTTTATATTTTCAACTTTAGCATCATATCGTAGTTGGCTATGGCTTTCCTGTACAGAACTTGGCTTTTTCATTACAACAGACAATGGAAAAAGCATATTTGGATCATCTATATCACTTGGGTAAGATTAATTACTAAAAAAAAAAAAATCCATCAATTTCTTTTTGATCTAATTACGATGCTTTCTTCTTCATAATTATAATATATCTTTCAACAGTTTTATCAGTTTTTTATTTTTAATTAGAAAAATATTAAAAATTATTTTTCTTTTTAGTTTTAAAAAATTTTTTAATAATTTAATTTTCAAATGAATTAAACATGTTTCAAATTGCAGTTATTTTATCGATAGATGCATGGACGTATTCGATGTGCAGTATGATGCGGAACGTGTTCGTGATGGCGTACGCAATACATTGCGTACATTTGGAGGTTATGATAATTATAGAGTAGGTTACTGTATTCCTTGGCTACAGTAATCATACAGCATGAATTTTGTTTTTATCTTGTATATTTATGAGAAGTTTTCAAGGGTAGCAATACGATATTTGCAACTGGTTCATATGATCCATGGAAATCAGCTTGTTGTTTGAATTGTACTGATATTACAAGAAATGTTTACTCTTTTATAATTGAAGGTAAAATTTATTTAATTTTAAATTAATTAATCGATTGTTTCATTAACTTAGAGCAAACGAAAAAAAAATTCCCATCGATATAAATACCTTGCAACATTTTAAAAATATTTTCTAGTCTTATTTTAAAATTTCAAGAAAATTTTTCTAAATTAGGGTTATAACCGATTTTATTGATTGAATAAGTTAAAATAATTATTTTCTAAGCTAAATTATTGCTAAAAATTTACTATTGTCTATATTAACTAGAAGCTTTTCAGGTGGTTCTCATTGCATTGACACATGTCCTGTCAATTTCATCAATTTACCAGCATTAGATGATTATCGAATATTTCTTGATGAAAAAATAGAAATGTTTATTGCGGAAAGCTCTACAACCAATGATAGTTACAATAGCAAAAACAATAATAGCAATAACAATAAAAATTAAAACAGCGCAACAATAACATTACTTTAAATTTGGAATAAAGTAAGAAATGAATATTTTATTATGTAATACTTTTTGATGTTTGTAACAAAAACTATAATATAATTTAAATTTCATAAATTTCACATTAAAGCCATTTAGGTACGATATTATATTTACTAATAAATGAATATAAAAGCATATGAATAAAAATAATTTGTAAGCCATTTTCATTTCAGGTTCCATTAACAGAATTGCTCATTCAGTTGATCATATTTTAATGTAATTCAATTTATAAATATTAAGAAAAAAAAATTTGAGAAAATGCCGTCATTGTGTGAAATTTTATTGTAAAATTGACCAATAATTGATTAAATTGAGTACTAATTAAAAATAATTCAGGAATTATCACTAATCATTTTCAAAAATAAAGAGGAAAATTTTTTTCAATCAAAAACTTTTTAATTTTTTTTCAACAAAATTATGCAAAAAGAAAAGAATACTTTTTCTGCTCTAAAAAAAACTAAATTTTTAACGATGAATAGATGAACTTAAATGAAATGACTGACGCAAATGATTCGTTATCAGTTGTTTCTTATTATTTATGATAAAGTTATTTCCTTGCTGATACGGTAATTTCAGTAAAAATAAAATGTGTAATTAATAAACGATCATTTCTTTATTGATTTCTGTAAATTTAACACAAAAAAATTAGTTGCAAAAAAAAGTTGGTTTTCTCTTTTTATCTTCCTTTCATGTTTTTATCATATAAATTTCTCAAAAGTATCATTTTTTTCTTTCAAAATAAGTTATGCATATATTATTTATTTATTCGCAATACTTTTTCATATTTTTTTTTGTAAAAGATTAACTTTGTCTTTGTTTTGATGTGTATTTTAGAGAGTGTAATTTGAATATTAAATGCGATAAATGTTTTTTTTTTAACGAATTATAAACAAAAGAATGATTGAAATAAATCATTTATAAAAAGTTAATTGATTACATTTATAGTTTAAGTTAAGATTTACTAGGAAAATGTGTAGGTAGTATCGATGGCCTTTAATATTAACAACATTTATATCAGATTAATGTAGTTTAACATTTTTTCTTTTTTTATCAATTATTTTAATGATTTCAATTTACAAATAAATATTGTAGAGTAGGAAAATTGATAATAACTAATGAATAATTTAAATCAAAAGGTTATTTAATTACATTGCTGAAATGATCGAGTTATTGATAACTTAATAAATTGCTATTAATAAAAAAAGATTGCGATAAACTTAATAAGTGATGAAAGTAAGTAAGATAACCTAACAGCTTATTTGAGAAAAAATTATTATTATTATTATTATCAAAGATTAACTTTTCACATTACAAGTGAAACTTACTTATCAAATTCAGCATGCAATCATCTGTGCTCATTTAATTGCAATTGAAGAATTGTTTAAAATGAAACGAAAGCATTTTTAAAATATGCAAAGCATTTTAAAGATAATCAATCATTGCTCCCTGACTTAGCTTAAATTTCAATGCTATTTAAAGCAAAAATTTTAATTTTTAACTTAAGTGCTAAAGAACATATCGAGAAAAGCACTTCTCCCAAATGACTTATTGATCATTTACCATTTTGTTATTATTGATTTTTCTGCGATTAATGACTTTTAAAATAAATTCTGTTCCTGAGGTTTCATGAGGTTTAACTTTAATCTTGTTTAATTTGAAGAGAAAAAAACTTTTATTCATTTGATGCAATCTATGATTTGATTAATTTTAAAAAAGAAAATTGAGACAATTCCTGTATCAATTATTCACTAATTTCAGGTTGTAAAATTGATGCCAAATGAACCATCTCTTCTACCACCATTTTTCGAGTTAATTCGTGGAAGTCCTGCCGAAGTTGTTGGGCATTTGATGGGTAGCCTTGATCGAATTCTTCCCTCACTTTACAAATGTGTTTCTGAGCAAAATAATTGTGTAGGAATTTGCACGATACCTCTTTATGATCAACTCGAAAACTCCCATTAATTTTTATTTCACTTGAAAGCTTTCAAAAATTAATAAAATTATATTTTTGGATTAATTAATATTTAAGTAACATGGATTCCAACATTAGTCTCAATTTCAATTTGGAGAAAATATATCTCCGACATTTAGAGATGTATAAAAATATAATATCAATTCCTTTTCATTTAATTTCAGCAAATTAGCAGATTGCAGTTGGATCATATTGTCATAGGATGTAATCGATTAATACGTAGAACAAGTTCTTGGAGGGCGCAATATTCCTATCTACAAAATATCGCTGTACTGCGACATTTGATCCCTGTTAAGGATCTCTTTATCTCCTTTGTTCCAATGCTTAAGCAAGAAGTTCTAACGACGGTTACCATTTTGTTATTATTGATTTTTCTGCAATTAATGACTTTTAAAATAAATTCTGTTAAAATTAACTTTTCACTTAGAAAAGCTTTTTTCTGCATTCTAGTCTGTCTAAGTTTGGTTGAACTTTTCATGATGGTATCAAAATATCAGTGTTGGGTTAAATTTCTTACTTACTCTGATAGGAAATAAGTTCGAAATTAAACAGTGTGTTAAAAGTTCATAAACAAAAAATGGATAACACTGTTTTTCCGTTTACTTTACTTTGAATATATATGTATGTTTATGAGATTGAAGTATTCCGGGTAATCAATCAATGAAATTCAAATAATTTTTAATTTTAATAATTTTTAGCGTGCAATTCCATGTCGTGTTGCTGCTTCGATTACACTTCTCTTATTCATGCGAGAAAATCCAAATGAAATTGATCGCCAATCTATCATTGATTTTTTTATTCACTGTAAATCGATTCATTAATTTGAATTTTTTGAAAAAAAAAAAAAAACTTTCTTTCAAATCCTATTTTATAAAAAAAAATACCGAAGTGTGCAAAATTTTTGGAAATTCAATTTTGTCTTAAATATGATCAATTTCGTTAATAAATTTAAAAAGAAACAACTGCAGCAGTCGCAAATCATCAGAATTGTCATCGACGTCGATTATTTTTGGATATGATCCCAGAAATTATCGTCAATTTTAGCCGCAAATTTTTTCACGCGCACTTTTTGACTCCAATTTTGGAGATGGCAAACGACAAAGTGGCAAGTATTAGGTTATTGTTTATTTCCTTTTTCTTTTTTTTTTTTTTTTTTTAGTTAAATTATTTGAATTTTCGCTTACTGATAATGCATTCATTTTAAGTTTTTAGCTGCTTTTTTAAATTATTTTGAGGCTTTCGAAATTGCATAAATTATTAGAAATTTTAGTATTCACTTGTTGTTTCTTGAGCAGCGCTATCAATTTTGTCATTAAATTACATGATATTTGATAGAGTAAGAATAGGTAAATAAATCTGAAGTTCTGAAGTTAAAATCAATTTTTGAATTCCTTATTGGCTCTAGCTCTCTAGTATGTGTTTTTTAAAGATTTAAATTCTTCTAGTCGACTTTAATGTTGGGCATTATTTTAGAATATATTTTGCCTATTTTTCAGATTTTTAAATTTAAAATTTCAAAAAGTTTTAAAGATCTTTTTACAAAATACTTTGCAGATTGCAATTGTGTCATATGCTTTCAAAAATAAAAGCAAATTTGTATTTGCCCCAGGATGAGGAAATATTGCTACGTGTAGAAGGAATTATTCGTGATTTGCTTTCCAAAGAGCAAAATTCATCAACGCGACAATTAATTCAAACGGTATGTATTTATAGAGAACAGTTTTCAGACTTTTAATTATTGTAATTTTTTTTCATATTCAAAATTTTTTTAAAACTAATCCTCATTATGAAACTTTAGCCAACTAAAATGCTTACATTTGTATGCAAACTACTGGATTTCCAGTATGCATGTGAATTATCTCGAGCTGAAACCCGAAACAAGAATGATAAATCGGATGAATTGAAACAAAAAGCGGAGAATGAGATTTGGAATCAGAAGGAATTAACTGTCGAAGGAACAGACAGTAATGCTTCAGAGAAATGCCTGAGAAGTGAAAAAGAATTAAGTATGTTATTGTAATTGAATATATGAATAGTGGCCTATTAATCAGATATAAATATTGGCTTAGACAATCATGAATATTGGCCTAAATAATTGGCTTGAAGGACTGTTTATCGCTTAACAAAAAAATTCGTTCTGTGAATTTATCTTTCTTTTTTTTGCTGATTTGTTTATATATCTATACCAGTTATTTTTATTTGATTGTACACTGCTAAAAATTTAACATTTTCAGTGACAAAAACGATGGTCACTTAGATAAGGGTCCTTGGCGTACACATATACAACGTTCCAAAACGGCTATTGTACGACCACAACCGCAAGTTGTTGTCACACAGCGTAGTCCAAGTCCAATGCCACGTAACTTTAGGACTACTGTGGAAGAACGAAAATCACGACTTCCATTAGCTACCACACAAAACAACAGATATTGTAAGTGTTACTGTTTTTATTATTATTATTATTGTCCACTGATTGATTAAATATCGATTGATTGGTAAGCTACGGGTTAAATAGTTGGTTAGTAAGCTATGAGTAAGTATATATATGTTCTAGAAGTTAAGTAAAGTTCAGCAGCTTCAATTGTGCTATTGATTTGTTAACTAAAGGTAAATATCGATTTTTTTTTTCTTTGAAATTTCAGTAGATACAAAACATAAAACAACAACAACAACAGCATCACCAGCGACATCTTCAGTCAGCAGGACCTTACCATTAACAAGTCGCAGAGGTAGCACTCAGACGACAACCAAATCTTCTCTTTCAACAGGTCGCAGAAGTTCAACAACTTCAGCTGGAAAACCTCCAACTGGTTTAAGTGCTGATAACACAAATGGTTTGTTCATTTGTTTATTTTTTGACGTAAAATCTCAAATTTGCTTTGGATTTTGTAAAATAATTCAGTTTTAATATCATTGACAGCACGTCGCTCCTCAGCAACTACCGTGATGTCGCGTTCGGTGTCATCTTTAAATGGAAAAGTTGGATTAATGCCATCACAATCCACCGACTCAGTCACATTATTTGGCCAAGGACTTATGAAAGTTCGCAGTTTTTCAAATATAGCCAGGACACCAAGTCATCTGAGTATGAAAGTGAAAAGTATTAATTGAGTGATACATACAGAGACAATCAGTGTTTATGTATTCTCTCGTATGTGTAAACAAATCAATATTTTTTTCTTGGATCTCTTTTGTTAAAAATAGAAATTTAAATTGAGATAAAACCAAAGAATCCTATACTGATTATCTTCTCTAATTATTCCTAAATTCACAGTGTAACAATGGTTAATATTCATTTTAATTATGCATTTGATCATCTGTTAGTTATTTTACATTCTTATTCAATTAATTTTAATTTTGATAAGTATCACATTTAAACTTTGATTGGAAAAAGATCACTTTTAGAAAATAACTTCTTTCCAAAATTAAACCTTTGTGAAATAGCACTAATTGATATTAATTAATAGGATTGTATTAACCTCAGTCACTCAATTGTGCAGTACAGGTGTGCCTTTCGACGTTATGTAAAAACGTTATGTTAATACGTCGAGTCGAAATGTTTGTAATGTATTTTTTTTAGAAGTGGATCTCAGCACATCATTGAGTACCTTCTTCATTGGTAAACTGTAAATTTAAGTTAATAGTCATTTCCTGATTTGTATAAGTAATAATTTTAATTTTTCCTTTTTGAAAAATGTTGATTAGATAAAAAGTGTAGTTATATTCGAGAGAACTTCCCGATTTCACTGATATAGATACAATTTTGATCCTTCCAAAACAGGTATACAGTTCAGGTAGAGAGCATAAATATCTTTGCCAGAAATTGGAAAATCACATCGATTATCATGCAAAATGCCAAATACAAAATTCTTTTCTAATTCAATTAAAAATCATTAAAAGACCTTAAATTTACCAAATATACCATCGAAAATGACTGAAAAAGATTGTAACCAATAATTTTAAAGCGGAAAAAGCTAAAATTAACAAGCAAATTCATTTTTGTTTCAGAAATATGTTTGATTTCGTCGATTTATCTCCTGAAGATTAAAAAATTTTTTACTTCATCATTTCCTTACCATTTAAAATTAAAAATTCAAGTTATTTATAACATTGTGAAGAAAATATATGGACTGAAAGTATTACCTCATGGAACATGCTGAAAAACATCAAAATGTTATTATGGTTTATTGAAAATTTAACTGCAATTCGTATTTTTCTCAAATTCGTTGTGAAAATTAGTTGGAAATGATATCAACTGAATTTTGATTCATATTTTTATCGAATTCGTTGTCCAAATTAGTTGAAAATGTTACGAACTGAAAATTTCAAAAGCATTAGAACTTAAATATGCGAAATTTCGTCTCGTCGACTTGCTTAAAGTTAAAAAATTTTGAGAAACATTTTATTGATATTTTAACATTTGAAATTAACACCCACACTTTTTCGACAATAACTTACAGTTACACGTTGCAAAGCTTTCAGAAAGCAATGTAATATTAAATTTTTCTTTACGAATTCATTTCATGGATTAATAAAATACAAGATTATATCGAAACACAAAACTATATGGTGACATTTAAAATTAAACGGAATACTTTCCCTTTCTTAATAATCACGTATATGCGCAGATTAGAGAGTCTATGAGAGTGTGCACGAAGTAAAACAATTCCGCCTCCATTATTGTCTGCATTGATCTCATCACCGAAACAACTTTATGCGCGAAATGAAAGATAACTTCATCGGTTGACTTTATTTGACTTATTCTTTTTATTCGAATCTTCTAGCTTTTTACTTTTACTATCGATGTGCAAATTGTTGTATTGTTGGAAGTTGCGTTCAATTGCAATTCAATTTGTTGTTGTGATAGTTAAGTCATCAATAATTTACGTTTATCTGCAATAGTTTTTGATCAAATTTAGTAGGCTCAAGAATTTATACGTACGCATAATTTGTAGTACCCACGTAATTATCGACTCTTTTCACTCCGTAAAGGAAGCGTAGGAATAAAAAACCTTGCATATACAATACAACGATTGTAGAAATTTTGCGACTGTAAATTGATAGAAGAAGTCTAACGGATAAGTTTTTACCCATGATATACCAGTAATGCTTACATTTATACCCAATGCTTATACCTACAAACATTTATACCCGCAATGCTTATACCTACAAACATTTATACTCACAGCATTAATCCATAATACCTATAACGATAATAGACTAAAGGAATGTGCAAATTAGTAACTACAAAGAAACATACAATACACAGAGAAGGCAACAATATATAGATAAAGTGGACAAAGCAATTTTTTCTTCGAAAAATAATATTGTAATTGTGAACCTATTAATTAATTAATTATTTAGACCATGAGATAAACATATAACCATCCTTTAAACTGCTCAGATTCGATTTGATACAGCCAAGTGTTGCAAAATGCATTCATCGCGTACTTTTTTTCTTTTCTTAATAATCACATACATGCACAAATCAGAGAGTCTGTGAGAGTGTGCGCTAAGTAAGACAATTCCGCCTCATTATTACCTGCATGTGATCTCATCACCGAAGCAACTTTATGCGCAAAATGGAAGATAACTTCATTGATTGACTTTATTTGACTTATTCCTTTTCTTATCATTTAACTTTTTACTTTTGTATTTTACCTTTATTAATGGGCAAATTGCTGTATTGTCGAAGTTACGTTTAACTATACTCTTGTATTTGCCGCCTATATCCATGGTTTTTCAGCAAATATGGCGCATGCTGAAGCGTACGGTCCAAATCTGCCAACATTTGCAGATTTGAAGAACCATCTGCGCAAGGAGCCGCTTTACTTCCAGGTATTGGAAGGATACCTGCAAAATACGGCCAAACTGGTATGTTTAATTTTGGTCTTGGATTTATTTACGGTATTATTCATTGAACTCTCTATTAATAATTGATTGGTATGATTTTTCAGATTGAGGATTTGAGGGAGAAGTTGGACAATGAAACGAATGAAGTTTCAACGGCAGACTTGAGAATCCGCCCAAGTCCTCCGCCATCTCGGGAACAGATAGAAACGTTCCATCAATCCGGGGGAATCCAGTGCGATCTGGAGCGGGAAGCAGAAAATGAGGACCAGATCGCCCTCCACCTTCTCGAACAACAACAACAAGCTTTAGAGCAAGAGGAAGAACAGTGCCGGCCGGCACTGGTAGACGCTCATGAGAGCTGTGAGGAGGTGGAGGAGATGGCGGAGGAGAGGCAAGTACCGCACGATTAGGAAGGTCTGCGGAAATTCCAGAACGCAGTGAAGCGGAAAGCATTCGCGAAATAGCACTGTAAGTTTCATTTCTAGCAATAAGAGTAATTAACTCTTCATAACTGCCTGAGTTTTTGAATCAAAGCAATAAGTTTAGCAAATGACTGCATTTGATGAGCAGTTAAGCTTACAAGAAGTAGTTAAAAAACACTGAAATTTTGATATCTTATAATAAATGTATTTCAGGCGTTCACGGACGATACGGATTCCACAACGTGAGGCAAAGCCAGTAGTGCCGGAATCCTTTCATGCGCCGGCAGTGGAAGGTTTACCGGCGTGGTACCAACAACTGCTGGTGAGGCCACCGATTGACCCATACGTAGTTATTCGAAATGCTGATGGGTCAACCACAATTGGTAAATTTAAATTTATTTTATTAGTGCATTGAAAAGCTTTATGTGAATGATTTGAACGAGTCTAGTACGAATTTATTTTCATAGTGTGGAATTTGTCCGAAGGAATTCGGAACTTTGAAGGGATGGCGAATTCACGCCAGCAAAGTGCACAAAAAAAAAATGGTAAGTTTATTTTCAATCTTTAGTGCTACCTGCTTAAGTATGAGTAATTTTTGAAAGATTTACCTATTAATGTAATATATCTATTTCAGGCTTCTGTCAAAAATGCGGCCATTTCGTCGATATGCCGCATGTTCGCTCTGATGACGAAATTACAGTCATGATGGAGCTACATGCTTTGGAATGGTGCCCTAGGGCCACGAAGGCTGTTATGAATGACAGAGCTATTAAACGACGAAGACTTGAGTTGGTGGGTAGAAACGAAGAGGCCGAGCACTACTATATTCCCAGTAAGTAAAATGTTCCTGTCTAAATGATTCAAATATAAGAAATTATTGAAAAAATTATTTTAAAAATTGAAGATTCATTCAACCTTTAACTTACAGTTACACGTTGCAAAGCTTTCAGAAAGCAATGTAATATCAAATTTTATGTTAAGTTTTTGTTCTTATTTGGTAACTAATTATTAGATTTTTAAAATGAAAGAATGACAGTGTCTGAGATTAGAGTTTCTTATTTGGTATAGTATGACTGCACTAATTTTTGATTTTCATTAACTATTGAAAAATCACAATGAAAAATTTAATTGTCGTCCCTCTATTTAGTGAGATTTTTATCGAATTCAGTTTTCAGCCATTTGTAATTTCGAAAAAATTGCGCTTCTTTTGCACATAGCTTTTGATCCTTGATGCATTAAATTCGAATTTGGCTCTTTAAATTTCTTTATTTCATTGTGATTTTTATTTTTAATTATGTAATTCTACTTTTTTCATGTTTGATTTGTTTATTAATATGTCGAAAGTAAAAAAAAAAAGGAAAAAAGTAAAAAAAAAATTAAAAAATAGAAAATATAAAGAAAAAAAAACAAAAAATGAAAAAAGAAAATAAATAAAAACAAAAAATAAAAAAAACCCAAAAAATTAAAAAATCAAAAAAAAAAACGAAAAAAAAAAATTAAAAAAAAAAAAAGAATAAATAAAATTAAAAAATAAAAATAAAAGGATTTAATGGCATTATTAATGCTTGGCTTGTTGTTTTATTAATTCTTGCATTTTTTTTTTTTTGTTTATGTTACTTATCGTTTTTTATAAAATATTTTTTATCACTATCATATTGTCATGTTTCACTTATGCCGTTAATAATTCTTTCTGGATTTTATCAGTATTAGTATTCATTTGTTTTTTTTATTAATTTTTTTGAGTGTTTTTTTATTAATATTCTTTTTTATAATTAATGTTATTCCTAACAAAAACAAAAAATGAAAAAAGAAAGTAAAAAAAAACAAAAAATAAAAAAAACAAAAAAAAAGACCAAAAAAAAAAGAATCAAAAAAAAAAATTATGTAATTTATGTAAATCTTTATTTCATTGTGATTTTTACTTTTAATTATGTAATTCTACTTTTTTCATGTTTGATTTGTTTATTAATATGTCGAAAGTAAAAAAAAAAAGTAAAAGAGTAAAAAAAATATAAAAAAATAGAAAATATAAAGAAAAATAAAAAAAAATGAAAAAAGAAAATAAATAAAAACAAAAAATTAAAAAAACCAAAAAAATTGAAAAATCAAAAAAAACGAAAAAAAAAATTAAAAAAAAAATAAGAATAAATAAAATCAAAAAATAAAAATAAAAGGATTTAATGGCATTATTAATGCTTGGCTTGTTGTTTTATTAATTCTTGAATTTTTTTTGTTTATGTTACTTATCATTTTTCACAAAATATTTTTTATCACTATCATGTTGTAATGTTTCGCTTATACCGTTAATAATTCTTTCTGGATTTTATTAGTTTTTTTTCTTTAACTAATTTTTTTTGGAGTGCTTTTTTATTATTATCCTTTTTTGTGATTATTATTATTCTTTCTACTTTTGTGTGGAGGTCAAGAATCACTGTTATAATTATGCACATAGATTTTTTTCTTTCATATCGGTTGATAATAGTTTTTTGGTCACCAAATTATTTGGATGAAATTTTTTGCTTTTATCTACTAGGTGGTCTGACTGAATTTAGTTTTCTTCTTATTTCCTGCAGATTGATAGTTTTAGTTTTATTGAATTTAATGCATTTGCACATTGAGCAGTATTTGCAGAACTGCAAATTATATTATATTTTTATTTATGAACAGTTTTTTCATAAAATTTTCTAAAATTTTTGATTTTATTTCTATATAATGCACCTTTTCCTCAATTAATTTTCTTTTTGTTGATTGCATCCTAAGTTACTTATACTTGTATTCATTGTTTGCCTTTTAACTTTAACTTTTTTTCATTTCTTTTCTTACTGCATGCATTTTTAGATTTGTTTTGCATGATTTTTATTTTAATCACTTTTTTTTCACTTGCTTATTCTTTATACATTGAATTTTGTTATGCTATAATTAATGTTTATGAGTTATTATTTTGTTTAACTTCAAATATCATTTCATCATTTCTAATGTATTTGGAATTTTAGCAAGGAGTTATAAATTATTTGTGTGAATAGCAATGCCAAGATTTAATCAAGGGAAAAAAATTACTCAAAACTTGTAAAAAGAAAAAAACGTGTTAAAAAATCAAACCAATATTTTTCGAATTTAACAATTAAGTAGCTTAGAAACTATTTATTATTTCCAGGTTTTCAGTCTATTTTTAAATTAATTTCTTCTAGTCAAAATGAATTAGAAATTATTGCAATTCTCTTATAATAGCGCAATTTGTTTCAAAGAATGTCACAAACTGAAGGAAATATTTTATCATAATGATAATATCTGATAATTATCAGGCATATTTAGCAATATAATTTAAATTTAGGAGAAAATGATGATTTTAAATGAAATAACCAAAAAGATTTTTTCATTATTACTTCTGCTATTATCTTGCAACAATACTAACATATTTGGTACGAAAGTTCGGAAATCATCGTTGCATCATTTGCCGACCATAGAATATGATCGTTTTTATCAAATGGAAATGGATAATATTTCGATGTCACAAAATTATTCAATTTTATTGAATAATTCAATGAATAAAAACTCAACAATAGCAAATAATATCATGCAAATGCAATCAGCAGCATTTAAAAATACTTATCAGGAAGTAAAAACTGATTGGGTATTACAACGAATTGATAATTTTAATCCAGATGATAAACGAGAATTCAAACAAGTTTCTTTTTTCACTTTTTTTTTTTAAAGAAAAGAAGAATATAAATTATAATCATAGAATATTTGCAAATTATTAAATCATTTTCTATAACAACTTCCAATATTATAATTTAAAATGATGAATTTTTCATTGCTTTATCAATAATTTTAAATTTATTCCATTCGTAATTTTAAATCTTACTGTAATATTTTTTAAAGCTCAAATAATTACAGCGTTATATGTCTAATTTGGAATTTTACAATAATTCTGGTTTGGCATTTTTAAAACTTGGTGGTGAGAAGGGAATTACTAAATCAAAGATTGGTAATGCAATGAATCCATTGCTGATATTGGCTAAGAAATATGGCGCTGCTTGTTTTTGTTTAGAACATCGTTTTTTTGGAGCAAGTCAACCATTTGAGTAAGTAATTCATAAAATTTACTAATTACTATGTCAGTAATTAATTTTTACAGTAAAATATATGCAAGGAGGAGCAATAATTTTCATTACACTTTAGATTATCCTTAAACTTGGTGATGAAATATGGAATTTCAGAGATCACTCAATCAAAAGCTATAAATACTTAACAATAAATCAAGCATTAGCTGATATAAAAAATTTTATTGTTCATATGAACGAAGTATTTTTCTCGGGAATAGAAAAACCACGTTGGATACTATTTGGTAGTTCCTATTCTGGTAAGTTAGTTGGTTTTTATTTTTCAGTTTTTGACAGTATGAAATGAAATGGTAAAATTATAAAATATGTTTCGTATTAACTTTTATCAAATTTTTAATCAAATATTTAAACAGATCAAAAAATTTGAGTACTTTTTTCTTTGAATTAATTTTTTGTATATGAATTTCAGGTGCACTTGCAGCATGGTTTCGTGAAATGAACGAAGATCTTACTATTGCAGCAATTGTATCATCTGGTGTGGTTCAAGCTGAAGTCGATTATTATGGTAAAATTAAATTAATTCAAAAAAAAAATTTTTAAGGTGCAAAAAAGAAAAGAAAACATTTTCGCTCATTTTCATATTAATCTAGCTAAAATTTTCATATTAATCTAGCTAAAAAATTAAAATAGAATTTTTTTTTATTTAAAAAAGAGGAAGTTTCAGATCATACCAGAAATTTGGAATATGTGTTGAAGGAGGAGAATGCACCGTGCGCTGAAACTATTCGATTGAGTATGAAAGCACTGATTGAAAAAACATATACCGCAGATGGTAGGGCAGAACTAGGAAAGGTTTTTAAGTGAGTTTTTTTTATTAAAATTTTTTCATTTCAATCTTTAATCTTTTCTTTCCTTTTTCTTTTT